TCTTTGATATATATATATCAGAAGGCGTTTTCGTCAAAGACGAAGAAGGTTTTGGAATATTTGATAATCTATTTTTTACAGAGAGGTGTTGGTATGAAAGATATTCGGATAATCGAGATTCTATTACATATAATTTGTTTAAGAAAAATTTTTAATTTCGTTATTATGATATTCATTTAAAAACTATTTTAACGAGCTCTAAGTTTATTTGCTTCTAAATTTTAACACAAATCTTGATGTGTAAAGCTTTAAGTGAATTGAAACTTTGATAATCATAAAGTCATACTTTCTCTTAATGCATTAATCGCACCTTATGGTGAAATCTTAAATTTATTAATAAACACTAATCTTCAGGCAAGACATATTAACAATGTAATCAATACATCTGCTTATCTTTAGCAGTTAAACTACATGAGTTAATTTTTAATAAAAAAAATATACTTAAGGACTTTTATTAATTAAAAAAATTCACTCAACTTGTAAGAAAACTTGTAACAAAAGGATTTTAATAAACAAAGTCTAAGAATTCATCGAAGCTATTAATTTAGATCTCTTGGAGAACTTCGTGACGATGCATAAAATAAGTCTGCTTTTTAAGTTGCCATAAGGAAAGTTAGTAATTTTTTTTTACAATAATCGAATTTCATTTATACAGCAAATAGATACTAAAAGAAAACAAAGTCAAGAAGTTTCTTCATTTTTTTTTTTTTGTAAATCATTCTTTAAGTTAATTTTTATTTTATTATTATTATTTTGTTCTTTTATAATTAAGAATTAATTAAATGCTTCGATTTATTCTTTTAATAACATCAAATTCGTTTATAAAAATGTTTCTTAAATACTTAAACCTCGCAACTAAGTAATAGTTTGCCATGTAAAATGAAACAGTTTAAAACAATTTCAAAAGTGTAAACATTTGAATTAGAAATTTCAATTGTTTTACTTATGAATTTACAAATTCAAAAATTATCCTAAACTGTGATAATTTTTTCTAATGAATCAGAATTTATATTTGCAAAATTTTGAAACATTATTTACAGCTTTTATATTCTTTTACTTATTTTAATTATTTATTTATGATTTTAATTATTTTCAGATAATTCCTCTGAACCTTTTACAACATTAAATTTGACAAAATTTTCTGCGGAGCCTAAATCGTTGATGGGCAGTAAGTAAACAACCAATTACAAATACTTGATAATTGTACACAAATCATATGTAGATATTTTTCAAAGTTACATAAAATTTATACGGTAAAATTTGAAACAATGCAGGGAATAAATATTGATTTCAATATTTATTTATCTCCTTACACTAGCATATGCATTAAATAATAATAATGCAATGTGAGTTTAAGTACTTTTTTTACGTAAAAAAAGTAAAAATCTAGAACCTAATTTTTAAACTGCGATATTAAATCACATATTTTAATTACAAAAGCTGTAATCACATCTTGATTTCATTTTACAAATTCAAAGAACTGCGTGTAACACTGTTTGGTGATGAAAAATTTAATTAACATTGTTTTCTTTATTGCTCAATTTTTAGGGAAATATATTTTGAACACCAAATATTAGATTACTAAGTAAATCAACATCAGTAAATACTCGCAAACCACAAACTAAAACTGCTAACGCAACTCATTTCAGATTGTTTTGCTCTCTTATCTCATTTGACTAAAAGTTAAAATAGCGTGCGTACGTTGATTAATTAAAATAACAATATTGATATTTATGCATGTATAAAAATAATAGTAATTCGTATTCTTAAAAAGGTCGCATTCTTAAAATTCGATTTCTTGGGAATTATTCTACTGATTTCGCTCAAATTTTGTATTGCGTCACGTAAAATTACATGCTGTGAAATAATTTTTAACAAAAAATTGCCTGACGTACCATTCATATTTTTTTAGACTTTTATTCAATAAAATAATAAAAAATAATAAATATTTGCTAATAGTTATTTTATTTAGGGAATCATCTTTGGATAAACGAATTTTATAATTTTGTACAGAAAAGCTCTGATTCCCTTAAAATGTTCTCTAGCCATGCGAAATACGCAGAAATCATAGTTAACGTTAAAGGCTCCAAAGTTTAGATTGCTCTACTGACCAAACTATCGGGTTCATATTTCCCTGATTGTAACTGTATTGCGGTAATCAGCAATCAAAATCAGTCAGCAACAAAAGTAAAGTATGTTTGTTCAGAAGAAGTAAGTTTTCGTGTCGGATTTCGTAACTTGGAATATGATGTGCTTAAATTAATTAGCACAGTTGAGGTAACCTCCTCCTGTGGGACTATTGGCATCATATTAGGGGGACTAAGGGGACCATACTTCCCAGATTGCGGTTACCCCAGATATTTTTTGGGGGTCAGAAATACAAGTTCGTCGAAAAAGGGTATATTTATTCAGAGAAAGTACGTTTTAGGGTCTGATTTTGTAATTTAAAATATAGTCTGCAGTGACTATTAAACGTATTTGAAGTCAACCCTCCGAGCCATTAAGATTGATTTCTAGAACTTAAAAATCCTATCATTAGATCAAAAGTTATTCTGGGTGGTCAGTTTCTTTGGCGCACTGTACTACTTATATCTACATCTACTTTTCTCACCTTGACAAAAGTATGAACCATCTTTATATCTGTTATTTCCTTTTGTTTTGAGAATATGTTGTCTACGAGACTTACTCTACTTTGATAACACACTAAGTAAGTTCATTGCTTTTCGATATCGATATCAAAAACGTTTTGTAGATTGATTCATACTTGCATCTGTTAACGTTTAATTTTTATAGATCGTTTTGTTTATATTGTTAAATCTTTCCTATCATTTGTACAGTGTTCAAAAAATGGATCACCCTGAATAATTTTTGATCTAATAATCGGATCTGACTTTCTTACAAAAAAAAGTATGTTTATTCAAAGAAAGTAGGTTTTGTGTCTGGTTTTGTAACTTACAATATCGTCTACACTTATTAATAATTATATATTTGAGATCAGCCCCTCAAGCCATTAAGATTGATCCCCAGAGTGTGAGAATCCAATAATTTTAAATCAAAAGTAATCCAGGGAGGAAAATTTTTTTCCCGCACTGTACAATTGTGAAGAATACTGATGTAAAAAAGAAGCAAGCATATCAGCTGAGCACTTACAGATAAACAGAAAAACCTTTATAGTTCGTAGCCATGAAGAAGATAAATTTATTTGTATTTAAACAGATTTAATTTATTACTTAATTGTTCCAAACGTTTCACATAATTGAAGCTTTTAGTTACGAACACTGAATGTCAAAAATTAAAATTTCCCCGTTAAAATTTTTGCTGTATCTGCACGCCTCAGTTCCAAAGATAACTTTAAAAAAAACGTTTCTTTTAGGTTTTTCATGAAATCCAGATGAATTTTATATTGGTTTTAATTTATTCGCCTCTTAAAGAGTCTCTCTATAATGTCCTGTCGTACCAAAAGTAATTTTGCGATCATCTAAACTAAGATTATTTGGAAAGTGATTTTTCCTCTCAGTGTTACAAGCATTGCATATATTGGTTGTCCTCGATAGTATTTCAAGTATTGCATATATTGGTTGTCCTCAATAGTATTCCAAGTATTGGTTGTCCTCGATAGTATTGCAAGTATTGCATATGTTGAGTTTGTTGAAGATTCTGTTCTGGTGAGACGCGTGCGAACCGTGGTTTGTCAAAAATGGTTGACATAAAAGTTATGTTGAAGTTTATTCCTTGTTATTAGTTGGTGCTTGCAGAGTCCTTTTGTTTCCGGGTTGTCCCAATCATTTTACCACGTGTCTTTTGCTCGGTCAAGGAGGATTATTCTTATTGTTTTCTTAGTCCGAAAGTACGTTGAGATATTTAACTGGTATTTTACAGGCAAATTTTTCAAGTCTGTCCTCTTGTTAATCCCTAACACAAAAATGTACTTTTATTCAGTTTAATTTTATGTGTTCTGTGGTGTTTTCCTTAATGAATTTTAGAGAGAATTTATCTTGATTAGTGTTGAAAAGAACTTGGTGAATGGAAAGTTAATTAGAAAAGATGCTGAATGTTTGCTTGATCTGTTAATCTTTTATCCAATAGATCGACTGGTGGATGGCCCATAGATCGGTCTTAAAAACCAAGGCATAGACATTTTAAAATTAAATACAAATCAGCAAATTAAAAATTAATAAAACCTTAAAGCACCGATTTAATAATTTGTATATTAAAAACATCAAAATTTAAAAATTCAATAACTTTTAAATGAATTCAAAATTTTGAAGGAAGGAAGAAAGATTATTCTTTTTTATCATCAGTTATAAAATGTTTTTTTATAACTGTTTTCTTTCATCAGTTTTTTTATCATCAGTTATGGAAAAAAGTATAATTCTTTTGCATTTATTATTGCTTTTTCAATTACATAATGCAATATCTATTTGTTTATTGCAGCGTACAATCCGAAAAACTGCCAATCTAAACTATTTATTTTCTCTAAAAGGAATTTAATTTGAAAAAAATGAATAAATTTATGCAAAATGAGACGTCTTTATTATTTTCAGATATGAAAAGTCCGTAGTTGCCAAAAAATGTTCTGCTTATAATTTTCGATAAATTGCATTATGCGGCTTAAAAGAAATCTTCAACTTTGACATAAAATAATGCAAAAACTAATGATCCAATTAATTATGTTTTAACTTGAGGCTGTTACTTAAATATTTCTTGCCTCAATAAAATTAGCCATCTTGGAAAATATCCAAAATTTCATTTTGTTTTGTTCAATAGTTAAGTAATGAGAGGGTAATGCTTGCTCATCGAAAATTTTCTGAATCATCATTCATTTACTTGGAATGATGCTATTATGGCTTTGAAGCTACATAAAAACTAGCATATCCCTTATGAAACAGAATATCCCTTATTAAATCTTTATTTATGTAGGAAATAGCAGAAATTTGAACAACAAAAAAACTTAATTTGTCCTTCAAATCGAAGTGAATAAGTTATCAGATTCCTTTTTATACCAGTCTTTAAATTATAAATTTTGAGAAATAAAACACATATTTATTTTTAAAAGTGTATATTATTACAAAGATATATTTCTGTTTAACGTAATTCGATTACTTTGAATATTATAATTCTAAATTTTTACTCAATTACTAATTTTTTCTAATCAATTTGTTTAATAAAAAATATGAATAAATGTTTTAATGGTTGCTTTCAGGTACAGAAGTTGCATCTTCCGTTAATTACACAATTATTTTTGTTGCTGTTGCTGTTTTTACAATTCTCTACTTGATTTTTTGGTACTATTGTTTAAAATGTTGCTGCTATTCCATCAGACAGTGCATTGATAATAAAACCATCACTCGAGGAGACGTCCATGAATCTCCACCGCAACCATCTACCACATCTGGAATAAACATACGGAATCACCGCGTTACCTCAGATGAATCCCCGCTCATAGTGTCACATCATGAAGTTGCACCACACTCTCAACGGCTTCCACCGTACGATCCACCACGATACGATCAGATCTTTGTAACATCATATCAACGTCATTATCAAGAATGGGATCAACAGTTGCAACAAAACTCAGACATAGGGGTGTCTAATGCTTCTGTTTACAATAGAATTTCACCACCACCACCTTACGAAGAATGCTTAAGAACCTAAACAGAACATGTCTATGAATGTACATTAAGAGCATGTCTATGCACGTACAGGGTGGGGTAAATAAAAGTGGCCCTGGAGAACAGTGTTCCACGCAACAAAGAAGAGCAGCAAAGGAAAGTAAATATTTCACTAACATGCCAAAGAGCAGATGTTGTAAGCGACCTCCATTCATTTCTTGGCATTATTTGGACCCTGGTCAACAAGTTGTGGAAGGCAAATCGAAGCTTAGCATCTGGAATAGCTGCAATCTCTCGTCAGAAACGTTTTTCCTGCCTTACTTGTAGACTAAGAAAGTTGTTGCAGTACCCCTTATTTGTAATACTCGAGGTTTCCTCACAAAACGAAATTGTTTACTGACAAAACAGTGGTGTGATTACTTGCATGTATTCAAGATAAGTCGTATTCTCGCATCCGGCCACTTTTATTTGCCCCATCCTGTATATTCAAACTACGGTACAACTTAGAGGATTGTTTAAATGTATTCTTAGTATTCTTATCTTGATATTTGTATTGCCCGACCTGTATATTCAAACTACGGTAAAACTTAGAAGATTGTTCAAATGTGTTCTCATCTTGATATTTGTATTGCCCCATCCTGTATATTCAAACTACGGTACAATTTAGAAGATTGTTTAAATGCATTCTTATCTCGATATTTCTATTGCCCATCCTGTATATTCAAACTATGGTACAACTTAGAAGATTGTTTAAATATATTCTTATCTCGATATTTGTATACTGGATTTACAATGACATCACTTCAGAGATAATAAAAAAAAATTTAGATGTACTGTATGCAATTTAACAAAATTTCAATTAAGTGACTTTGGAGATTAATGGTAATATTTTTAGGCATTAAATTTCTCTCTTAATAATCCTAAAGGTTAATCTTGTAAGTTAATTAATTTCTGCAGGCACAAAATGTACTGAGAATTAGTTTAATATTCGACGAATAGCTAAATGTTCTGTCTTTATCTTGTTAATTACAAAACGTACTGATAATCAATTTAGTACCCAACGATTAGTTAGGTGATCTGTATTTTATCTCATTAACTAAACAGTTGTATATTGCAGAGGCATGATCACCACTTTAGTCTGTTAAATATAAGCGTATTTGACTTAATATGACTTTTTTTTATTTATAAATATTGAAGTATATAAGTAGATTTATACTTAAGTCACACTTAAAAGTCACCGCATAACAATATATTGATTACGTATTTATTAGTTTACACAGGAAGAAAATTTGAACATGTATTAAATTCTACTTTGTAATAAACTATTTTTAAAAGAAAAAAGTAATTTTGTTTGTAATTTTCGCACAACTGAAATCAAATTTCTTCATTTTATAACCACTTAAAAAGATCTGTTGGACATAAAGTTTCGAATTTCTCAGAGAAAAACGGCATTCCTTATGAACACCTTTATGACTATATACCATACTATTATAACTATATATATATTATATATA